ACGGCTGCGGCTCCTGCAGCTGCGGCTGCAGCCTGACCACCAGAGCCCCACTGCTGCGGCAGCTGCAGCTGCTGGTGCGGTTGCAGCTGCTGGAAGCGGTGAAACTGCTGCAGCTCCTGGGGAGTTATGGGGTCAGCGATAGAGGAGGAGGAGGAGGCGAGCTGAAGATGAGAGGGGAGGAAAGACGGAAGAGTTTTGACATCCTGGAGAGAGGGGCGGGGATCCATGGCAGACCAGCGTGGGGGTGTGCCAGTGTTGCCGCGCTCGAACCAGGCGTCATCATACGCTTTGAAGCAGGTCGTTGGGGGATGGTTGGTTTGGGTGCAGCGCTCACCCACCCTGGGACCAAAACGGCGAAGATAGGAACATGGGGGGAGAGTGCCAGGGCGGCCACCACGGCTACCAGATGAGCCACCACTGCCACCACCACCACCACTGCTGCCACCCTCGACCCCGCAACCACCGCCGCCGGCTCCGTTGCCCCCACAACCGCCACCTCCACCCCCTCCCTGAGGGTTGGTGCGGCCGCCACGTGGGCGCCCTCCACGACGCGGCTGTGCAACTGCAAGCTGGGGGTTTGGGGACTCGGTGGAGTTCAAGCCGGAGGGGGGGGTTGAGAGAAGGCGGGCCTCAGCGTCAATGATCCACTGGACCACAGTGTCAAGGGAGGCACGGGGCTGAGCCTCAGTGAAGGCGATGACGCGCACTTCATACTGAGGGGAGAGGCCTTCGAGGAGACGGTAGATCTGGAGGTTGGAGGGGAGAGTAGTCTGGCGAGCCTCTACGCGGGAGGCAAGGTCCAGGAGACGGCTGGTGTAGTCAACGGCGCCAGCACTATTTTCGATCGTGATGCTGAAGTATTCCTTGAAGAGCGGTCCGACAGCGTCGAAGTTGGTGCGTTCGAACATCGCCTCAAGCTCGAGCCAGATCTGGCGGGAGCCGATGCGACGTGCCTGGAAGTTGCGCATGAGCGCAGACGGGATGGCAAGGAGAAGGGCACCAGTAGCACGGCTGTCCGCCTCGAGCCAAGCGCGACGACGCTCGGCAAATCGCGCAGAGTCAGCGGCATAAGCGGCGGCGGTAGCGGCATGCTGGTTGCGGAGGGTGGCCGACCGCTCGTGTTCCTCCAAAGCGATCAGGTAATCAGTATGGAGCACGAGGAACTCAAGACGCTGAGTAACGAAGAGCTGCTCAACCTCAGCGGTGGCAGCGCGAGTGCTGGTGCCAACGGGTACCACGGGGGGCAGAGGTTCCTCGCCGGGATGGGGAATGAGAGGGGGGGGATCGCCAGGGTGAGGCGGCGGGTCCCCAAGGTCACCCTCTGGGAGACCAAGCATGATGTCCAGGAAGCGGAACGGCAGGACATATGCACTGCTGAGGACGCGGTGGAGGCTGCCGACGAAGGAATACCAGTTGGTTGCTGAGTTGTCGTCAGCGCGCACCAAATGATCGAGGGTCGAAACGTCGACAGGAGGGGGAAAGGATGCCATTGGTGACACGGAGTGGGAGGAAGGCGACGGCGGGTGGACCCGCCGTGGCTGGGAGGGAGCGGCGGCGGGTGGACCCGCGGCGGCTCAAAGAGGAGGGGAGGATGGGGATGACTGTAGCTACTGCTGCTGCTCCCACTGCTGCTGCTGTTGCTGCTGCTGCCGCCGCTGCTGCTACTGCTGCTGCTCCTTCTCTGCTGCTGCTGCTGCTGCTGCTGCTGCTGTTGCTGCTGCTGCTGCTGCTGCTGCTGCTGCTGCTGCTGCTGCTGCTGCTGATGCTGCTGCTGCTGCTGCTGATGCTGCTGCTGCTGCGTCTGCTGCTCCTTCTGGTGCTGCTGCTACTAGCTGATGGCAGTTAGCTGATGGGGAAAGATGGCAGTTAGCTGATGAAAGTAGGACTTGGTAGAAATTTCAGTAGCACTTCGTGATCACATCCAGGAAAGTGCGCGAACTTCGGAAAGCGATATCCGACAATCCAAGCGGTGAACCAGTCTGCAATTTTACGACGTAGTAGCTGACACCAAGAGCGTTATTTTGCAAGTCGAATCACTCAATTCGGTCAACTAGCGAGAGAGCTATGGCGTTTGGCGCACTGGGGATGTTTGAAAATCCACCCAACAGAAAACTAGTTGTGAAGGGAAAGAGAGGCGGCGGCTAGGAGTCTAGCAGCGGCGATGGAGGAGACGGCAAATAGATGCACGTCGGAAGGGGATGGGGCGGAAGCGTGGGGAAGGATCAGGATTGAAAGTTGCCGTAAGCCATTATTGCTCTATATCATGTTAGAAACAGAAATGTTGAGTTTATTGATCAAGCAAAGGCATTACATAGGAAGAGAGAGATGAGCTAGGAAGGGAAGATTGGAAGGGAATGGGGGGTTAGGACCAATCACAAGAGAGGGAGGATCCTTCCAAATGTGGTTGACCACAAGTGGGAGGTGGTCCAAGTATGGTGGACCACAAGTGGCTTAGGCAACCCACTTGTGGTGCCCCCATAATTGTGGTCCTTGTGTTTGGGGGCTCTAACCACAATTGGGTTGGATTGACACCCCAACACAGGTGTACACCCACTAGGGATGTAAACACAATATACACAACTAGCATACAGTAGCATGGTATATTCTAACAGTCTCTTGTTTTAATTTCTGTGATTTTTGAAGTGTAAAAGACCAATTGTGGATATTGGGCTGAGAATAGCCCACGGGTCTTTGACAGAGACTAAGTCCTTTGATAGGTAGAGTGCTTAGGAGCACAGCGAAAGTCTGAGTTGAACCCTTGTAGTGATATGTGAGAACAAGTCATTGATTAAAGTAAGGAGATACGAGGGTTTATAAAGCATTACAAAAGTCTAACTGGCTGTGTCATTCATAGGCGTACATTCCCCTTAGCGACTAAAAAACACGACTCCCTTTCGCCAGCGTGGTCGGCGTCAACGTAGCCGATGAGCTTGGTCTTGGTAGTGATTTTCTTGTGGTAGGAGAGGCCGGTAGTTGGTGTAGAGATGAAGTATAGGAGCACGCGATTAAGTTCCTCCAGATTCCCCCCTTCAGTCCGCTTAAGGTACGTAGCGAGCTGACTAGCATAGTAGGAATGGTCTGGTCTGTAGGTTACGATGGCGAACAGCAGGCATCCGAACAGGTATTCTTGAATGCCGGTGGGTGCGAGTAGAGTAGTATCCACCACGGTTTTCGGGGATGTGTAGAGTTACGGCGTCGAGGTGGGTTCTCTGCATATTTCAAAGCCAAGAGGCAAATTGTGTCAAGATTGTCACCGATGTTGAGGCCGAGATACTGGTTGACCGTTGGCAAGACAGTCAACGTGAGGTTGAGCTGGAGCTCTCCTTTGAGCCAGGTTGGGATGGTGGTGGTGGAGTCGATGTATAGCAGGTCGTCAACGTAGATGATGAGTAGCACGTGGTGAAGTGAAAGGTGTCGTCACTGCCGGAGAGGCGGTACATGCCTTGTTCGTGCGGCAGCTGCATGAATCCCATGCGTGTCAAGATGTCATGCAGAAGCCGGTGCCATAGCTAGGGGGCTTTCTTGATCCCATATAGGGACTTCTTCAGCTGGAAGATGAGGATGGGGTCGTCGACGAAGGTGTGCATCTGTTCTAAATAAATATCCACATCGACTGGTGCGTAGAGGAAGGCAGTGGCGACGTTGAAATTCCTGCAGTCGGAGTTTGCGAGCGGCAGCGATGGCGACGAGAATGCGCAGGGACGTATAGCGGCTCATGGGGGCGAAGGTTTCTATGTAGTCCCGTCTGCGCTGCTGGTCTTATCCCCTCACTACCCAACATGCTTTGACGTGTTCCACCATTCCGTCTTCCTTTGTTTTGACGCGGAAGACCCATTTCCCCGAGAGGATGGACTTGCCCATTGTCGAGATGGGAATCAGCTTCCAAGTGTTCCTTTTGTGCAGTGCCTTTAACTTCTTGTCCATTGCTTCTTTCCATTTTTCCCGATGTTTTCCTTCAAGGCCCTTCTTGACTATTGTAAGTGCCTCAATTCACGGCGGTTGCGACGGCATCTGGGATGGCGGGTGAACTGCTGGTACGAGTCCCAGGATTTGAAGTCCACTTTCGGTGTAGCGGGGGAGGTGCGGGTCCTCAAAATAAGCCGATTCATAGTCCGATTGAGGATCAGGTAAGAAACTTGGGCCGTTACGTTTGGAAATGTGGGGTAGACACGCCAAGGTGTAATGTAACCATTGTCGAAATGGTAATACGCTTCTACATTCACACTTTCGCGAGGGTCCTTGTCGTCTAGCAGCACATTGACAGAGCAGTATGGTTGGGGTCCAGCTGTCGCCGAGGCATCCGGAATATTCTGCTCATCCCTGACAGCTTCCTCTGCTGACGATGTGAATGTGCGTGCACCGCTAAAACGACCAGTTGGGTCGCGGTCATTGGCGGTATTGTCGAGGTTATGCTGCATGGTGAGGTTTCTGTAGAAGATCACGTCCATGCTGCCACCCATACCTTGTCATGCATGCCGAGGTGTAGGCCCTATCGTGCCCTTAATGAAAATCTTCCAGCGTGTACAGTATGGGGCCGGTACTATACCATGCAACCGAAAACTCGTAAATTTTTTGTTTTGCCCAGCTTCCCTGTCCACAACAAGTGCGGTGATGCGTTGTTCAGTAGTGAGCTAGACGACAATAGATTCTGCAGCAGCACAGCATGGTCCATTGCCTCCAGCCATTGTGACTTGGGCAGTCGCATAGCAGCTTTCGCATGGTGTTCTGCAGCGTCCTGTTCATCCTTTCCGCTACCCTCTGCTGTGGGTGCGCGTAAGAAAGAGAGACGAGTCTCTTGATTCCTCTTTCCGCCAGGTAGTCCTTGAAGCGATGTGACCCTCTATCACCCCGTCTGAATGGAAACTCTTCAGTTTTGCATCGCTCTCTTGTTCTGCCACAGGAAGCCATGCGACGAACGCCGCGTAAGCCATGTCGCGTGATGGCAGGATTAGGTGCCATACATAGCGGGTTGCTGCATCGATGAAGGTGATGCCAAAGTTGAGGTCCGCATGTCCGACTCTGCGAGGTATGTACAGGATGCCGCTGTACTCCTTTTCGAGCGGAACATAAGCCGGAGTGCTTGGGTTGTGGTGCGATGGGAACAGTCGATGCGGAAAGTCGGCTTCTGGGTAGATGAAGCCGGTTAGTCGTGGCTTGCGTAGTTCTCTTTCATCAAGTAGGAGCAGTGCATCCTTGTTGAGCACTCCCGCTTGTATTATACCATATAGTCTTGAGTTCGAGGGTGTCCAACTCGTTGATGCCATGTTTCGGCGCTTGCTTTTTGCCCGACAGATCGCCGGTACAGATCCGAGTTAGCGTAGAAGGCGCGGAACGACGCTGCGCTTTGATGGAACTCGCGTGTGTATGCCTTCAGTTGTTCTGCTTCGATTGGTGGTGATTCCTTTACGGGTGCCTTTTCGATCGACGGTGCGGTTTAAGGTTCAGCTACGAGTTCTGGAAGTGCCTCTTGCGTCTGCTCTCTTGTTGCCTATGCTTTCCTTGTATCTTCTGCTTCCCACATCACAGCTAACGCTCGAGTGCTTTCTGCTTCAGGGATCATGTTGGAGTACCAGAATCCGTCTCTGTCGCACTCGTGAATACCCCTCGTAATCAACTGACTGAGGCTGAGTAAGTTATACCCGATGGACGGATAGTTTCTTGCACGTGATTGCTGCATACGTCAGGTTTGGTTGAAGTAGGCTCTGATTCGTGCTGGCGGCATGTCATCGAGGTCGCAATTTGGAGGAGATTCAGTCACGCAGCAGTCTGTGTGTGCCATGCAGCTGACAATGTTTCTTGCTCCTTGTGCAAGTCGCGACGAAGATGGTGGGGGCCACTGCTGAGTCGATGTCACCTGACTGCTGGACAGACGGAGTGGTCGAGGCTGTTGCTGCTGCTGCCTAGGGCAGTTGACTCGTGAATGTCCCGAAGAACGGCATAGGTGACAATACGGAGGTACGATGCTTTTCGGAGTGTGGCCGTGTTGTCGGTCATGTGTTTAGAATGCGATACGCTGACCTGGCTTCTTTGCGTGGCGTTCCTCGTACAGATCCATGTCCTAGCTTCTTTGCATGGCGCTCCTTTTACAGATCCAAGTTCTTGCTGCTCCAAGATCTTCCTGTGGGCTCGAATAAGGGCTTGTGGTGGCAATGGGCCAGCTCAGCTGAGTTGCTGAAATTTCTGTATGTCCTTATGTTCTGCTAAAGAAGAAGAAGAAAAGAAGAAGAAGAAGAAGAAGAAGAAGAAGAAGAAGAAGAAGAAGAAGAAGAAGAAGAAGAAGAAGAAGAAGAAGAAGAAGAAGAAGAAGAAGAAGAAGAAGAAGAAGAAGAAGAAGAAGAAGAAGAAGAAGAAGAAGAAGAAGAAGAAGAAGAAGAAGAAGAAGAAGAAGAAGAAGAAGCAGGAGGAGGAGGAGGAGGAGGAGGAGGAGGAGGAGGAGTGGGGGGAGGAGGAGGAGGAGGAGGAGGAGGAGGAGGAGGAGGAGGAGGAGGAGGAGGAGGAGGAGGAGGAGGAGGAGGAGGAGGAGGAGGATACATGATAGGTGAAAAAGAAGGGCAAGTTTCGAAGAAGGATCGTGTATGCCATCAGTGATTGATAAATGTAAACTTCCTTCTTCTTTTTAGTGCCATGGCTTGGATATTCGTAGGCACCCATGAAGAGGCTCAAGATTTGAGTGGCCTCCATCATGAGCTCAAACTCGAAGCTCCACGCATAGAAGTCCCTTCCATTGAAAAGGAACGAGGTCTGCATTTTTAAAATGTTGGCGAACTGCGCTTGCATTCCCAATACTTCGTTCAGTATGTCGCTTGGAGCGGATGGTGCCGTGGGTTGTTGACTAGGCAGGAAGCTGAAGAATCCTGGTGCCAATTGCTGAGGTGGGCGTTGTACCGGTTGATAATTTTTTCTTGCGAATGATGACCCGTTGATGCTCATTGACGCCACACCGGTGTTGACACCATTTCTGTTGTTGCTTTGTGCTGATTGAGCAAGCCCCAAAAGTTCTCGTAGAGCAACATGAAAGAGAATGGCTTCTCTATGAAGCTCGCTCGGATCAATATCTGAAGGGGGAGCCACTTGGCTCATAGATCCCCTTGCGGTTAGACCTTTAGTTGCAGCTGCCTCTGTCTGCAACTCGTAGATTGGTGGTGCAGATGCCTCAATGCCAGGGAATCCAGCGGAGGATCCCATGTTCTTTGTTGTTGCCATATCGTTGTCTTGTATCTTGATAATAAAGATGGTATCAATACGAGTGTTCTGATAGTGTTCGAATCTCAACCGAGGGAGTTTGTAACGGGAACCTAGTCTTCGACTAGCTCTCATACCATATTGGCCTGAGAACAGCCCAGGGATATTTGGCAGAGACCAAGTCCTTCGATAGGAAGATTGCTTAGTAGCACGGCGGAAGTATGATTTTAACCCTTGTACTGATTTGTGAGAGCAATTGATTCGTTAAATCACAGGAGATACAAGGGTGTATAAAGTATTATGAGAGAATACAAATGGACTAGCTAACTGTGTACTTCATAGGGGTACATTTCCTTTAGCGACTCGATAAGCATGACTCGGGTAACCACCCGTACTGCAATACCAGGACGGTAATGTGTCCTTACGTTAAGTTTTTTCTTCATCATTTCCATTACATTACTCCAGGCACTGAGGGGAGGGGGCACCATATGCTTGCCATTTGAACCAAGGACATGTCTCGTGTTCTAGTTTTTGTGATTGTTGAAGTGTAAAAGACCAACAGCGGACGCATATGTACTCTTCAAGGTACCATCAAGGGAGTACCCTACGTGACCGATAACCGTACACGATGTTTATAAAAGACGAGCCGTTGCTTCAGTCTGGGTCGGCCATGACTCAAGTCATGGGCATCATGAATCGTGATCATGCTCCCCTCCCTTTCTTTCATTGATTCATTATCGTATTTGACGATAGCCATGCAGATCCGCTCCGATCAGTTAGGTGGAATAAAACGATCTACAGCCCGTATAGGTGTGGAAAAAAGGGCCGTAGTCCGTACTGCCCAGGGGTAGCCCACTCCTGAAGGCTACCGCTGTCGTTAGAGGAGCACGCAAGGCAAGGAGGAGGGGGGGGTGGTGGTTGCAGTGAGCCATACACCCGGCCCTACGATTGGGCGGCCAACCATAGGGCCCAAGTGGGGGTCGCCTAACACGGTCTGCCCGATTTCGAACCCTTGGGCCCGCTAACGCAGCCGGTGGTGGGGGCTGACGTGGCGTAGGCCCAGCCCCTTAGCAGTGACGTCCTAGAGGACAGACAGTATGAACTTGCTTTCCTGTCAGAGGCCGCTCCCCATCTCTGTTCCATGCTGCTAGTCCCTGAGGGTGACCCAGACGCCCTTGACATCCCTACCCCTCGCACCTACGTTGAGGCCACCTCGGGACCCTGGGCCTCTCAGTGGATAGCTGCCATGGAGCAGGAGATGGCATCTTGGAGATCCACCGGTACCTTTGTCGACGCACCTGGAGTGAACGTAGTCGATGGCCGATGGCTCTTCAAGGTGAAGCGCCCTCCTGGAGAGTCGCTTGTCTTCAAGGCGCGCTGCATTGCTCGTGGCTCCAGTCACGACCCGAAGATGACTACTGTTCGGGCACTGCTACATGTAGCAGCACAGCGTGACTACGAGCTGCACTCACTCGACTTCTCCACAACTTTCCTCTAGGGTAGTCTACACAAGCAGGTCTAACTGCGCCGCCCCCAGGGCTTCTCCGGTACCTTTCCCCCTGGTACCAAGTGGCTCCTCCGGCGCCCCGTGAGTGGCACGATACACTGCGTGCTACACGTGCTGACCTGCGGTTCTTCTCGTCGTCTGCAGTCCCCTCGCTCTTTGTCCGTTCCGGCCAGACTCCGTTCTACATCCTTGTTTACGTAGACGATCTAGTCTTTGCTATTGCCGACAGAGACGCGCTGGCCTCCGTGAAGGTCGAGTTGCTGACGAGACACACCTGCACTCACCTAGGAGAGCTGTGCCGCTACCTTGGCTTGCTGATCTCCAGGGACAGAGCAGCGCGCACCATCACTCTCACACAGTCACACTTGGTGCGCCAGGTCCTTCAGAGGTTTGGTCTTTTGTTCTCTTCCGCACAGCCCACCCCTCTGCCAGTAGACCACAGACTCTCTGCACCAGTCCCGAAGGAGGCTCTAGAGCCTAGTGGTCCTTACGCAGAGCTGGTGGGTTGCCTTATGTACCTGATAATTTGCACTCGTCCAGATCTGGCATACCCTCTCAGCATCCTGGCCTTCTTTGTGGCCTCCGGCAGACAACGGCCACAGCACTGGCCTACAGCTAAGAGGGTTTTGTGTTATCTATAAAGTACATTGGGTATGGGGCTAGTGCTAGGAGGACCTAGACTAGTGGTCCTTACCAGGCAGACGACGCCGAGACTCTCAGGTCCTCCCATGGCTACTGCTTTAGCCTTGGTGCAGGTGCTGTCTCGTGGAGGTCCACCCGCTCGTCGTCTGTTGCCCAGTCTCCCTGTGAGGCTGAGATCTACGCCGGTGCCATGACGGCACAGGAGCTCCGTTGGCTGACTTTCTTGCTCATGGACTTAGGTGAGCGGCCTAGCTCTGCCCCCGTCGTGTACGCTGACAACAGGGCCATGATCCTGCTGTGTTAGGAGCCCAGACTCGAGGGCAGAGCGAAGCACATCCAGCTGTGGTACTTCCTCCTGCGCGAGCTACAGCAGCGTCGCCAGCCCCGCGTAGTACACTTGGCCGCCGGTGCCAACACAGCTTATATCTTAACAAAGACGCTTGTGCGTAAAGATCATCAACGGCACTGCGTACAGCTTAGTCTCGTTTTTGTAGCACCTTATTTGCTAGGACCTTGATTGTGTATAACTCTTTATATATTATCCTGACTGGCCTTGTGGCTTTTTCCCAGTGGCTGGACTAGTAGTGCTGCCCTGGTGTTGTTCCTGCCTTGTTTGTACTCGTTTGACTGGTCTTTAGACCCCTGCCTCAGAGGTTGGACTAGTAGTGCCGCCCTGTGCTGCCTGTCTCTCACGAGGCTCTGCCCCTATCTAGTCTAGGGGGTGTGTCAAACATATGTGTGTATGTTTTGTAGACTACATAGGCTCATGCCATAGAGAGTACAACCCACTAGCTACTGTATATACCCCTGTATACTCTCATTCTACTCAACAAATTCTAACTTTGCGAGGGTCTATGTCATCTCTGCCATCTCCATCCCCACCCTCCTCCCCCTCCCTCACCGAAGTCCCTCCCCATCCCTTTACCCCTCTCTGCCACCTCCCTCCACATCTATCCCCTCTGCTTTTGCATCTCCCTCCCCATCCCTTCCCCCCCTCTCTCTTTGCCATGTCTATTCGCATGCCTGCCCCTCTCCCTAGCATTTTTCTCCCATCCCTTTCCTCCGACCTGCCATGTCCCTTCCCATCCCTTCCCCTCCCTGTGCTATTTGCCTCCCCATCCCTTCTGGGAGGGGAGTGAAGCGTAACGCATAGGAGAGAGGGGGGTGGGAAGCGTAACACGATGGGAGAGAGGGGGGTGGGAAGCATAACGCAATGGGAGAGAGAGGGGTGGGAAGCGTAACGAAGGAAAAGAGGCGGGAGGAAAGCGCAACGATGGGAGAGAGATGGGATGGGAGGGAAGCGTATGTCAACTTATACATATATTGTTATGCAAAAGTTATGGGCTAGATAGGGTATGTTCTTAGTGGGTACAACCCAAACGCTATATCTCCCTTGTTCTCCCTCCTTCTAATCATTCTTTCTAGTCTTAGCATGGTATCACGAGTAGGTAATTCCACCCACCCGCTTCTGCCCCGTGCTGCCACCTATCGGACCCTCGCGCCCCTAGCTGGCCCCGCGCGCCCCTACGGCCCCGCCGCGCCCCTAGCAGGCCCCGTCGCGCCCTTACGGCCCCGTTGCACCCCTAGCAGGCCCCGTTGCGACCCTACGGCCCCGTCGCGCCCCTACGGCCCCGTCGCGCCCCTAGCAGTCCCCTTCACGCCTTTACGGCCCCGTCGCGCCCCTACGGCCCCGTCGTGCCCCTACGGCCCCTCGCGCCCGTAGCCGGCCCTGTCGCGCCCCTAGCTAGCCCCATCGCACCCCTACGGCCCCGTCGCGCCCCTAGCCGGCCCCGTCGTGCCCCGTCGCGCCCCTACGGCCCCGTCGCGCCCCTACGGCCCTATCGCGCCCCTATGGCCCCGTCGCGCCCCTAGCCGGTCACGTCGCGCTCCTACAGCCCTGTCGCGCCCCTAACCAGCTCTATCGCGCCCCTAGCTGGCCTTGTGCGCTCCTAGCCGGCCCCGCACGCCACTACAGCTCCTCGCGCCCCTAGCCGGCACTGTCGCGCCCCCTACTAGCCCCTCGCGCCCCTAGCCAGCCCCGTAGCGCCCCTACCGGCCCCTCGCGCCCCTAGCCGGCCCCTCGCGCCCCTACGCCCCCTCGTGCTCCTACCGGCCCACCCCCCGCGTCCCTAGCCGGCCCCACGCGCCCTTGCCGGCCCCGCTCGCCCTAGCCGGCTCCCCGAGCCGCCGTGCCACCGAGCCGCTGTGCCGCTGATCCACCGAGCCGCCGAGCCACTGTGCCGCCATGTCCCCGAGCCGCTGAGCACCCGCGCCACCGA